CACTAGGCATACCACCAACTATCAACAGCCTCACCGCCGCCCACTCGGCCAACATGTTTATCATATCCTGGGCTAAGACGACTTAAGATTAAGATATTCGACATTGGGAGATGGAAATACTTATATATTCTTTTCTGTCTGAATACTTGTTATATTCTAAATCATTACTAAAAAAAGACAAAAAGACCTCACGATTCTATTACTCAAAAAATGAAGTAGACTAAAAATAGGATCCCGATTTTACTTTGATCGCTATGGACTAGTACCAAGATCTAGTCCTAGACAAGCGGATCTAATTTTAACTGCCGGGACAGTAACAATGAAAATGGCCGTATCCTTAGTGAGATTATATGAACAAATGCCCGAACCAAAATATGTTATTGCTTGGGGAGCCTGTATAATTACACGAGGGATGTTCAGTACCGATTCTTATAGTCCTGTTCGGGGAGTCAATAAGCTCTCGGAGCCACTTTCCCTTCGTCCTTCTGTCACTCCCTCTTCTTCCCTTGACACCCCGACCGCTACCACATCTCTGCCGACCACATATACAATGCTTCTTGATATGAGTTTAAACTATCTACGATGTTCCTTGACATGAGCCTAACTATCTATAAGGGTCCTTGACATGAGCATAAAATGACTACAAATTCGGAGGTTGCTTGAAAAGAGAATAAACAAACTTGATGGCCATTGACACGAGCATAAAAAGTGTATAAAATCACGATCTCCTTGGCATGAGAATAAAAGGCCTACAAGGCAAATATGAAGCTCCTTGACACGAGCACAAAATGTCTACAAAATCAAGATCTCATTGACAAGAAAATAAAATGTCTACAAAATCAAGATTTCCTTGACACGAGCATAAATTGTCTACAAGTCAGATTAAGATCTCATTGGCACGAGAATAAAAGGTATACAAGTCAAATATCAAGAACTTATTGATATGAGTATAGACTATCTGTCAAATCAAATCAAGAATCCTTGATACAAGTATAAACTATCTATAAATCAAGTCATATGATGAAGTCCTTGATACGAGTGTAAACTATCTACCAAGTCAAATCAATAACTATTCGATACGAGTATATAATATATGTCTAATCAAATCAATACTCCTTGATACGAGTTTAAACTATCTACAAATCAAGTAAAACTAACTCCGGAGAAAGTTTAGGACTTATTTTGTGCGCCTATTCTTTTTGTTTTCCGTGTTTCTTTTTGTTTGTTATTTTTTCATGTTTACATGTTTATCTTTGTTTGGTGTTTTGTCTAGTTGCTTTTTGCATTTCTTGTGATTTATAGTTGTTTATAGTATTCTTTGTTTACCAATGGTACTCATGACCTGTTTGTTGTTTGAGTTATGCGCACCAGGAGTGGACGTGTATTTGCCCTGAACGACAAATCCATTCATGTGACCTTGAGGGAGCTTTTGGATAACCTTGTTCCCGAATCACCCGAACAAAACTATCAGGGTTGGCTTACAACGAGCCTCCTCACTATTTCTTTCCAGACATAGCCCAACCGATGATCGGGCCAATGACCTCATGTATCCAGTTGGAACAAGCGACACGAAACTATGAGCTCAAGACGGTCCACTACAATCAGCTCCCGACCTTCCATGGTCTCCCGAATAAGGATCCGCTTCACTTCATCATGGAGTTTTACAACGTACTTCATAAGTTCCCTCTTCACGGGTTGAGCGATGACCAACTAAAAATGTGGTGTTTCTCGAAAACTCTTAAGGATTGACCCAAGGCATGGTTCATGAAGCTCGCGCCTGATTCTCTCACCACCTAGGCACAATTTTATTCAAATTCATCGTGAGATACTACTTCCATCAGAAGACGCAAGAGCTCCGATCCCAGATCGTCTCTTTCGCTCAGTTTCCTAACGAGCCTTTTCACGAGGCCTGAGAACATTCCTCATCACAACCTTGCTCTTTTGATGAACTGCTCTTATGACTTCCTCCACCAAAACCTTCAATATATAGTGGACAACACAGCGGGTGGGGACATAGGGGAACGGATAGTGGATGAGATGAAACACATTTTCTTCTCAAGAAACACATTTCTTGTTCAAGAAACACATTTTCTTGAGAAGAAACCCGTTTTGTGCTCAAGAAACGGGTTTCTTGAGCAATAAACGGGTTTCTTGAGAACAAAATGAGTTTCTTGAGAAGAAAATGTGTTTCTTGAGAAGAAAATGTGTTTCTTGAACAAGAAATGTGTTTCTTGAACAACAAACACATTTTCTTCTCAAGAAACACATTTTCTTCTCAAGAAACTCATTTTGTTCTCAAGAAACCCGTTTATTGCTCAAGAAACACATTTTCTTGAGAAGAAAATGACTTTCTTGAGAAGAAAATGTGTTTCTTGAACAAGAAATGTGTTTCTTGAGAAGAAAATGTGTTTCTTGAGAACAAAATGAGTTTCTTGAGAAGAAAATGAGTTTCTTGAGAAGAAAATGTGTTTCTTGAGAATTTTCGCTATCTCGTATGTGTTTCTTCAGATACATGAATTTAAATTCCGGGATCTTGCAAACAGTGTCGTACGTCATACAATTTCGCGAAACAAATCACGGAGACAAAGCATACATTCGAAATAATTATGGATTCTAAATATACCTGGATTCAACATATCTCTGTAGACAAAAGAATCGGTATTGTCCGATTGGGCCATAGATCGGTATTTTCAGAT